AAAGCATCCTTGCCCTTTGTCTGTAAGTGCCAAGGCCACGACGGACACGCTTGCATCGGTGAAGTCCAGCTTGTCCGAGCACTCCCTTGGGCTCCGCCCACTGAGCACCACTGCTTCTGCAGTGGGCGTGAAAGTTGCCTCCTGGAACGTCCTCGCCTGGAAGGCATACTGGTACAAAGGGCTCAAGGACGCGGCTTGGCAGAGCGCCACACAGGCGCCGAGCAACACCCCGCGGAAGCTCATGGCCACGGCTCGGTCGGGAGGAGCCACGATCTGAGCTCTGAACAGCGCCAGAGATTTGCGATGACCTAACAAGAGCCTACTAGTACCAAAGTTCCATGGCCCGGCAGATAAAACATGCTTCACCTCCAACTGTCTTCAACCAGCCATGCTTAGGGAGCTGGTAACGGCGAAGAAACAAGGTGTCCTAACGGTAGCGATCACGAGATGATGCAATGGCATACCGCAGCCTCTTAGTAGCTCAACACTACGGTAGATGGTTTTGGCTAGTCTTGGATGGTAAGCTGATGACAATGCGAAGAGTCGTACTGGTGGCCCAAGAGACTACCAAGTGCCCGGCTTTCTGCTGTTGCTGCAAGCGCTGCTCCAGGGAAGGAAGACCAACCTCTTCAAGCCAGTCACTGAAGTTGAAAGGGGCGTTTGTGCTTTCAACAATTCATGCCTCTGTTAATGAAGGGGTGTTCTTTTTTGATGAGGGCCTTTTCATCATAGTGCTATAGCGACTCGCGGTTCAAGCATTTGTCGGCCCTTCATCAAAGAGCTTATGTGGGCAAGGATTCTGCTCAGTGGAACGGAACGGAACGGCACACCCCGGCCATGACTCTGTCCGAGGCACCATGGACTCCGGGTAGCAGGAGGTAGGATCCGGGTTGGACTGCAGCGCTTGCAGCCATTTCACCGGATCGACCTGTTCACGGTTTAGGGTTTAGGATTTAGGGTTTAGGGTCTTCCGACAAGGGAAAGCGGGTGCAAGAAGCTACATTGCAGCTTGCGCCCGTCTGCTTTCATGGCAAGCAAAAGTTCCTACCCCTCTGCGGCCAAGCTGCATGTTGCAAAGGATTGAAGGCCTGCGGAGTGTTCGCCTGATGCTCGCAACAAGTTAGCCCTGTTCTCAGTTTGCCCAAGCAATCTCTTATGATCGTGTAGGTTGCCTCTAGCGATGCGTGTGCACCTGGAAGTAGTTTCGTTGGCAGGGCATTCAGCGTGACTCACTCCCACAGCTCGTTATTGCTCATAGTTGCGCTTCGACCCCTTCTTGCAGCAAAAGTCACTTGGGCGAGCAGCTGCGGGTTCGAACTGAAGGAGAAACCTTCGCTGCATCAAGGTCGAGAGCCGTGTGTTACTAGGACGAATCCGTTGAAGGGTAGTTTGGCCAAGCTTTCCGAGACACCCCAAAAACTGCCTGACCCCTCTGTAACAGCTGGGACATTGTCTCAGTGCTGCGAGGCGCTATATGCCAAGAAATTGCTGGCAGACCTCAGTCGTTAAGGCACTGCCAGGCACAAACATGTGCATCACTCGAGCCTCAAGGGTGTGAAGAAGAAAGGCGTCGGGTGCTGCTAGACGATGTGATGAAATCTTGTGGCACTGTGCTGCACATCGTTAGACAGTGCTCGGCACGATGCATATTCTAGCGTGCTGGATTGTGCATATTATATATATATATATGTATATACTCACTGCCATCTGTGCATGTTCTGCTCGTGCTCTGCGTCTTCGTGCCATGTTTTATGAAATGGGAATACCAGTCGCATGGTCTTCCCCTTCATGCTCTCGCTGCTACTTTCGTTTTGCCACTTGATCCTGCGGGCGCAGGTGCATTTCATCAGATAGTCCCTACACCTTAGCATTTCTGCTGCCACTATCATCTGCTATGGATCGTGGCTCATTGGGCATTTGCCATGGGATGCAGCAAGCGACTGCTTTACGAAAGGGCCTGTACTGTGAGAATGCCAGGTAACTTGTAACAACTACCTACTACAATCTCGCTGCTACATGCTTTATGTACATTGTATTTCCTCAGATAGCAGATTGCGGTGGGCACGCTGCTTCCTTGGCACTCGCCCAAGACAAACCTAAATAGCAAAAGGCAATGCATTCTGTCCCCCTGACACAAAGAGGGCACCGCCTTTGTTTTGCACATACTGCCACGCTGTGCTCATGTTCGCGACGCGCACATAATCCATCAAACCATCCATGCATTCACAAACACACACACACACACAGACACACACACACACACGTGGTGTATCACCGTTACTTACATTCGCTACCTTGCGTTGCATTGCATTACCACACATTATAGTGCATTTTCCATTGCACCCAGTACATTGCATTGGCATCGCATGGCATTGCGTTGAATTGCACCACACCACATCAAGTCACATCATGTTACATTTAGCTTTGCAGTTGGATTAATAACTACAGGTGAGCTACATTACTAGTTACACTATCATTGCATTACATTACATCACGCCCGTATATGCAAGTGCATGTACATGTACATGTGCATGAATGCATACACGTGTGTGCCCACAATGCGCGCATCCGCATATGCATCTGTCTCGGATACGTGTGTAACATAAATGCATGTATGCATTCGATTACACACGCTTTCTTGCGCGTGTACATATGTGTAAAATTATGTAATATGCATTGTATGTATGTATATCTTTATTTTCGCACTTATTTATGAATCTACACGCAAACGGACATATATATATATATATATACTATATATATACACACACACTTACACACACTTTTCGGTCTTTCAAAGCCCATAAGAGTCCCAGAACTCTCTGAGAAAGCGGCGGCAGCCGCCCAACGGCACCACCGCCTTGCGCTGCTGCCTCTCGTTTTCGGGGTGTACTAGAGTCTTGGAGGTCAGGGCCTGAGGGTTTCTTGGGGTTTGAAGATCACGCATGGGGCTTGGGGTCGTCGTGTAGCAACCTTTCGGAGGGCAGCCTGAGGCTGAATCAACCATACGATTCTCTTCAGGGATCTTCACAGTGTGTTCTATGTCGCGACACGATGCACGAAACCCGCAGGTTTTGAGTTCACATCCAATTTGATCCTCTCCGGCCCCTCTTCCGCCAGACCCCTGGCTTATATATGTAACACCTTATGTAACATAGTGGCTGCTGTGGCTCACGATGCCTTCCAGAGTCCTTCTCGTCACAATCTGCTTCTTGTCTGGGTACCTCGAACGGCACCTTAAATCCTGAGCCAAAACCCCTTAACCCTATCGTCTTGAATTCCGATAACCTGACAAGCTCCAACGGGGTGCACCTCGAAAGGTCGGAGGATGTTTGGAAAGGTTGGTTGTTGCTGCGGCATGGCAAGTCTCGAGGACTAAGTCAGCATGTGACAAGACACTTAGGGTTTTGTGACTTTTGTGACGCAGCTACATGAGGTCTTTCGGATTAGGGGTTTAGTGTCAAGTAGTCAAAGTAGTCAACCTACAGATGTTGAATCAGAGGGTACAGGAACAAAAGCAAGAGCAGGAGCAAGGGCAGCAGCAACAGCAAGAGCAGGAGCAAGAACGAGGGCACGAGCAAGAGCAGGAGCAAGAACAAGGGCACGAGCAAGAGCAGGAGCAATACCGAGAGCAGGAGCAACAGCAAGAGCAGGAGCAACACCAAGAGCAGGAGCAAAACCAAGAGCAGGAACAAGAGGAGCCGGGGAGCAGGAGCAAGAGCAAGACCGACCCGACGTGACAGCAGGGAAGAAATACCTCCTAATGATAACGACACTTTTCGAGTTGGTATTGGGGGCCCTTCCTGTCTAATATATTAAGCGGGTTTCGGGATCCAAGGGCTTTAGGACCTGTTAGTTAGGTCATTGCATATTGTGGAGCTCGAGTGGGGTATGTAGTGGCTCGGAACCTTTCAAGTCTAGCCTCCCGATGCATCCTTGAAGCAGCCCCGAATGAATTCTCTTCATCAGACCCACTTTCCTGATCCATGCATGACCGATGTATAAGCATTCTCAAGACCTCGATAAGCCTCGATAAACCTCTTCCGGCCTGCGCTGCGCTCTGCCGGTCTCCCGCCGCACGGCCCAGAACTGGATAGAGGTCCTGCAGATACACTCGGGAACTCTCTGTACAGTTCCTAACCTTCTAGGAACTTTTTCCTTTCTATGCGGCAATGCGATCTCATGCTGAATCAGTTCTTGTCGCGGGGCACGCAGGTTCTTTCGGCCCCAGTATGCATTCAGTTCCACACCACCCGCGGCCAAATTCTTGCTACATGTTTCCTTCTTGTCTTTCCTCTTTTCACTTGTGAGTCTGCGCTGTTTGAGGGTAGCATTCCAAGCTCACTCCCTGCGAGTCCACCATGCCCTTCCGCCCAGGTATACGTCGGGGCGTGGTGATGCTTGGCATTGTGAGTCCACGGCGCCCTCTTCTGATGTGTACCGGTGGCTCCCAACTACCCTCAAGGAATCATGCCCACGTATACTAGTTGTAAGTGTTGTAAGTAGGGTTTGGAGCTACAGGTACTAGTATGGGCACTGGTCTGAAAAGGCCGGTGGCTTCGGATTGCCGGGAGGCATAGAAAGTCTCTGACGTTGCTGTGTGGACCCTGAATTAGCGAGGTGCATGGTACCCGGCATGCTCCAGAATTTAGGGCTACACAACTCCTCCGCTATGCCTCTGACCCGAAACACACCCCTGCACAAAGCAATCTGCCAGTGACCGCTGCGTCGAATCTCCTCCATCCGTCTGGCCAGCTCCATGCATACCAGCTGAGCTTCTTGAGCATTTGGAATTGCTGCCCCGGTGGAGCCTCTGTCAGTTCTGAGAGAAGGATAGTTGCCCGAAGACAGATGAAGAAAGTCAACACAAGTTCGTCCGGTCTGTTGTATCTGTCGGTTTGTCTCTCCTCTCGCCTCTCCCATTCCCTATGGCACTGGGTAGGATAAACCCCACCAATGTCAAAAATCGTCAATGTGACTGTCGAGTGTCCCGTTGGACATCAACACTCTGCCTGCCGACGCCGCGCCAAAAAGGCCACCGCTGCTGCCAGAAGACGAAGCTCCACACATGCCGCCACCAGTGGATGCGCCGAAAAGTCCTCCGCCGCTGCTTGCTGGAGCTGCGCCAAACAATCCTCCGCCGGAGCTGGCACCAAAGCCACCCGAGCTCGCTCCGAAGAGGCCACCGCCGCTGGAGGCTGGGCTGCTCCCAAACAAGCCGCCGCCGCTAGAAGCGCCACCTCCAACCCAAGGATGGAGGCACAGTTCAATGCAGTGAACGGGAATGTGAAGCACACGGCGCCAACGAGAGAAGGAAGCGATAAAGGGATGGCTGGTGCTCCATGGATAATTACTATACCCTTGTCGTCTTTAACGCTTTACGACAATACACTAGAGGTACACTATGACTTTGTACGAAAACAACTCCCACACTATTGCTTCCTACTCTTTGGTACCATAACGAACTATAACTATGTATCGGAATGCAAATATAGTGAACTCCAAAATACGCCCTCTCTCAAAAAAAAAAACATAAACCCTAAACCACTAAACCCCCTGCCCACCACCAAAGAAACAAAAAAAAAGTCCGCAGCAAAGCCACCCGAGCCAGCTCCGAAAAGCCCGCCGCCACTGGAGGCCGGAGTACTCCCAAAGAGCCCACCACCGCTGCTGACGGCACCGCCTCCAAAGTCGGAAGTTGGAGGGTTGAATGTAGGGGCCTTAATAATTAGAACAAGGTTTTGGGGTACATAATACTACACTATAAGTATAATAAGGAACTCCAAGAATAGATTTGGTAGTTGCTTAGGCTTCTATATTGCACCCCGTATGTAATGAGTTTATACTTGTGACCTGATCACTGTGCATGCTGCCAAGCTGCCCGAGTTGGCCCCGAAGAGGCCGCCGCCGCCGGAAGCAGGAGCGGCGCCGAAAAGTCCACCGCTGCTGCTGGCAGCGCCACCTCGAATCAATGGAGGTAGGCGCTATCCAACCCTCAGATCAAGTCATGAGCTGCTCCCCACTTTAAGCTGAAAATGCAAGCTGATTCATGTCTGCAAAATGCAAGCTGATTCATGTCGGCTGCCACGCAATTGCCATGTAACTACTGCGGATATGGATCTGCCCACTATCAGTCGGCGGTCTGGGCTCACGTCTTCAGCTGCATGCAGCGACCGACATTGAAACTGAGCAGGAAAGTATCCGCGAGTGCGGAAAACTGAACAGTGGAATCAATGGCTGCCTTCTGCCTCCGATCTTACACCAAGCCACCCGAGCCAGCACCGAACAGGCCACCCCCGCTGGAAGCTGGGGTGGCCCCAAACAGTCCTCCGCCGCTGCTAGCAGCGCCACCTCCACAGATGCTGGCACTATGTGTATGTAACTCCACAACGACTTGCTTGCTACGCAGCTACCTTTGCCGTCATGATCTGCACCGAAGTGGTACAATCAGTATTGTTAAATACAAAGACTAGTGTTATTCGTGTTATTTCGTCAGCAATAGTAATACAACCATCATGAGCAAGAAATGGTCGTGCTTCCCAGCTAAGGGGCGGCACGTGGGCCCCCAACGAGGATTTTATTGCTCTCTACCTGTTGAACTGTTTAACACAATTGCTATAATACAGATAGATAGGTAAATAGATAGATAGATAGATAGATAGACAGATGTCGCATTACCGTATTGTAAGCGACATTCAACCGAGAATGGACACCATCAAACCATGACTGCGACAAGCTGCGTGGAAGCGTGGCCACACACTTCGAGCTTGCTGCCAAGCTGCCCGAGCTAGCCCCGAAGAGGCTACCACCGCTCGAGGCCGGAGTACCGCCAAACAGGCCACCACCACTGCTGGCAGTGCCACCTCCCATGGACAGCACCAGTCACTCAGGTATACAGGTTCCTGTAGAGGCTCCTCTAAAGGTCCCTGTAAGGGTTCCTGTCTGTCAGCTGTGGCATACACGTTAAACGATCTCTGTCGATTGGGCCAGCGTGGACTCCAAACTGAAGCTTTCCGCGGATTATTTCGCCACAGTGAAACCTATACTCTCCTTTAAATCCAAAACCCCGAAACTCGCTTTTCCCCCTTTGAGCCACCCGAGCTGGCTCCGAAGAGCGGATTGGCTGCAGTAGCTCCAAAGAGGCTGCCACCGCTGCTAGCCGCACCACCTGCTGAAAGGTTGATAAGGATCTACGGTTCGGGGTTCAAACTTGGAGTTATATAGGTTGATAAGGATTTAGGGCTCGGGGTTCAAACTTGGAGTTATATAGGTTGATAAGGATTTAGGGCTTGGGGTTCAAAGGGCGAGTTCTTTCCTCAAGCGGCTCCATGGCAAACATGCTTGACGCGCAGCCATTGCTCATGCAAGTTTGCGATAGAAGCACCCCTAGAACCCCAACCCTACCGACTCCTCTACTCACTAATATGGAGGCCTAAACGATCAGAATAGGGTTTTGGGGGTTCCTTACTATAATGATAATAATGGGCCCCAAAACCCTGTTCTAATTATTCTTAAAGCCCCTATATTACTCTACTCAGTCTGCGTAAGACCCCGTCTGTCTGAAGTTGCTGCTCCAATGAGGCTGCCGCCAGTGGCTGCGCCAAAAAGACTCCCACCGCTGCTTGCAGGGGCAGCGCCGAACCTTGGATGGTGGCCTTCTCACCTCACAAGGTTTATATAGGGCCAGGGCCGCCATGAGTAGGGGCCTTAATACTTAGAATAAGGTTTTGGGGCCCATAATATTCAGAATAGGGCTTTTGTGGGCCCATAATAATCAGAATAGGGTTTTGGGGCCCACTATTGCACAGCTGTGCACAAAGAAGTCCGAGAAACAAGCTTCCTCCCGAGGCAGCGCTCCCTCCGAAGAGGCTACCACCGCTGGAGGCTGCAGTGCTTCCGAAGAGGCTACCGCCGCTGCTGGCAGCACCACCTTCCACGAAGGGCGTCTGGTTTATAGGGTTTAGGGTTCAGGGTGTGGGGTTATTCACGGGATTGAAAAAAGGGCTACAGTAGTGGCTGGTGCTAGTGCTACTGTTGCCAGTACTGCAGCTACTGCCACTGCTACGACTATGACTACGACGACGACCACTATACTACTCCTACTACTCCTGCGACTCCTATTCTCCTACTCCATTCCTAATACCAGTCAACGCAAGATAAAGTTCGGGGGCAAGAAGGGCCGAGGCAAGTGATAAAGTGATGCCAGCCACCTTGGGTTCTGCCATTTTTTGACACTCGGTCGAGGGTGTTGGGTTTAGGGCGAAGGAAGCCGCCATTGTTTCAAAGCAAGGGGTGCGACAAACTACGACGCTGTGGGCATTGCACAGCCACCTAGCCCGGCCACCCGCATAACGTAGACCCTCACTCGCAGAGTCCTCAACACATCCAAATCAGAGACCATCATTTTCAAGTGCCTGAGCCTGCGCCGAAAAGGCTACCGGAAGCTGCAGTACTCCCGAACAAGCTGCCGCTGCTGGCCGCGCCGCCTTCGAAGTAGAGGTACTTGACAGTTTACGAGCATAGCACCTGAATCCTATAAACAGCGCCTAGGCCCTAGAAACTTGTGCTTCAGGGTCTGGGGTTAGGAGTCTCGCAACGCGGACCTCCAGGGGTTCGGGATTTAGGGAGGGATGTGCGAAGAAACAAGGGTCCACGCGCCGAAACGACACAAAATGGCAACTGATTCATGGGTACCTCGATTCAGGGCAAAGAGCTTCAGGCATGCTTCCAGGTCAACGCTAGGCACATCGACACGTGCTGCGACACCGGCCACACATCTGGGAACTCCGTGACAAGCAGCTCCCCTTGCCCTTGCCCTGGCCACCTGCGCTTGTTCCGAACATGGCCGGCTCGTCCCGTCTTGGACTGAGAAATGTAGCGGAGCACAGCACGTCACAGATCGCAGGGGGAGGTTATGTTCCGGCAGTCTCCGAGCGTCGCTGCCCTCTCGTGATGACCTCATAGACTTGTAGTGCTGCCAGGACTACAGGCGACACGAACGCCGCCGGTGATCAGTCGGACGTCAGCCAAGGTTTGTGATGCATCTACATTGCACAGGAGCAGGTCAACTCACACAAACGCCACACAAACCGAAAAGCCGAGTGATGATTTTGGTTGGAAAAGCTCGGGCAAGTCTGAGCTCACAGCTTCGGGGTGAAACGTCGAATTCAAATACTTACTGGGTGTCTCATCATTCCTACCATCTGCTTTTCAAGCAGGGTCTGTACAAAAAATGCTTGAACTTGATTCGCGCACAGTTTGGAAGACCATGCTGACACACTAAAGCTTGCAAAGTCCCTCTGCCCACCTGTACCTCCCAGCACCCTTGAAACGCAACCTCAGAACATGATGGTGGCACCCTTCTTGCTCCGGGTTTTGCACTCCTCTTGGAAGGCCATGGCTCCACGTATGCGAGAGTCTGTCGAACAGTCGATCAGCAAAGGCAGCACCGCCAAAGCCACGGTGATGCAGCTGAAGGCTAGGCCTTGGTGTCCCCAGAACTACACCATAGTCTCCATTGTGGTTCCTTTTCGGGGATACCTTATAAAGTCCTTATAATATATAACTGGTTAAACCAAAAAAGGAACAACAATGGAGACTATATATAGGTAACCCTAAACCCTAAACCCTACCAAGATCCTTGAAGCTTCTGGGCACGAGTACATCCCTAGGGTTCCCTAACCTATGAACAGCTGCACTGACATCCCCAGCCACCGAACCAAGATGGTTAAACAGTCTCTTACTATTTACGAAAAATAAGAACAATAACAGTAGTCTTGGTCATGTAATCATGACAATAACAACAATAATATTACCAGCAATAATGATGATAATAATTAAACATCATCCAGGAACCCAAGTTCTCGAGCAGGTTCCAGTGCGAATTGCAAGCTTCGGCATTGCTAACACAGGGCTCGGGCCAGACGTCATACCAGCCATGCGAGGCATTGGGCAATCGGCTTTCTGGCCAGCCATCCAGCAAGAGGAGTGCGGAGAGCTCATCGATGACTTGAGGGTTGGGAGCAGGGATGCTCCTACCACAAAGCCCATTGATGGTCCCCTTGAACTCGCGACCCTTCGTGGCGTTGGTGGAGCAGCGGTAGACCGGTTCCAGCAGGGGATCTTGCACGCGGCAGCTGACCATTCGCAAGTTGGTGCAAAGGGCCCTGGATGTGGCCACGGCCCAACCAGCGACCTGATTCTGATTCAAGCATCCGGCCGAGATCCTGTATCGTGTAGTGCAAGGAGCCCACTGCAAAAACACGGGGGCAATGCGGTAGGTCTCCATAAAGCCCGGGGGAACCGTGGGCTCCTCCTCGTTGCTGAAAGGCTCCCTGTTGTTTACAATCTCAGCATCTCGGTAGCGACTGAGCCTGGGGACATTCCGGTTGTGAACTGTCTTCTCAAGAGTTTCGGTGATGCCCTTCGTCAAGTTCAGGGCGACAAAGCCATCATAAGCACGGAAGTACTTGTAGGAGCCCAGGGTCAACTCTGTGAGACTGATGTCCTCCAGTCCCCCCTCGGACTCTCCGAAGGCCAGCCGCTCGCCGGGGCCGAAGTACATCAAGACGATGCTAGGCACAGAGGTGAAGTAGCACATGCGATAAAGCACGAAGTAGATCTTCCAATCTACACCGGTCTCCGGGACCATGAGCCCTGAGTACCCGGCGAGCACTGGAACGGCAGTGTAGAAATGCGTGCCGACTAGAAAGGTTAAGGTAGCGACCGGCAAGGCCTGCCCAGACAGCCACATCTGCGGAGAGTTCCAAATTGTCGTCATCCAAAGCAGCACAATAAAGTTTACCACTGTCACGAAGATGGTTAAGGCTCTTCCTAATGTGCTGTTTAATGTCCGCTCTAGCGCTGACTTCGGCTTGGCAACCAGGAAATCGTTAGGAATGGCCTTCTTGGTTCTTCCTGGACTTTGCGGTGGCGCCGGTCGGTTTGGCACAGGCACGCCCTTGATGCCAGTGAGCTTTGCAAGCTCCATGTCGATGGTTTTCTGTCGGTACGCATCCTGCTTTTGCTGCCGCTCCTTCTGCAGCCTTGCCTCCTCATCCTCATCTTCGGAAGACTCATCTCCGGCCTGGAGTGCCAGCACAGGCATGGCTGACTGTGCCTGCCTCGACTGCTACGACTACTCGAGATAGCTGTGTTTTGTGCCAGGCGCGGCGGGTGTGGATGAGGGTTGCAGAATAGCTGCAGCGACAAGAAGTGGAAGTGCTGGCGCTCCACGACCACCACTACCGCCACACGAGTAACAGGGTGACAGCTGTATCAACTGGACCATGACTACAACCCCTGTGAACACTACCCTGTGAACACTACTCGCATGTTCAATTGTGCAGATGCGAGTCCTGTTCCTCGACGTGCCAAGTTGTTATCAGCACGCAGCGAGCTCACAAAGCAGACTGAGCTTTCGTCGACTTCCTTTTCCGGTATCTGGATCTTCTTGAGGGTCGGGGCCTCAAGTCGCGTCCAGGAGCGTCTTGAGCGGTCTTACATGAGCTGGTTTCTTCAAACAGAGGCTGTCTGCAGCAGGAGCTCGCGCAAAGTAGAATGGTGTAAACATATCCGTACTCGCAATCGTTCCATGCATACAGAAACGGCTTAGGATGCTTACAGGGTGTTGGGTATCGTGCATTGCGCATAAGACATTGTGCAGCTCAGAACCGAGCCGGCTCCGGCACCAACGCAGTCATGGCGCAGGAACCGGGGCGGCAAACTTCTTGGAGAATCGAAAGACTCTGCAGAGTGAGCCGTTTGCTGCACGTACTATGTATGGGCTGCTTTCAAAGGGACCCTGTTCCAACATCCTGGTTTGGGGCAAAAACATGTCCTGATAGAAGGCGCATGGAGTTTTGTTCTGCACCTATAGTCGTCTGTGTATCAGCCGTGACACGAGGCATACTGCAGCCAGAACTGATGCGGCTGGAGCGGGAAGCCCGTGATTGGCCCAGTCAGAACTGAGGTTCGTTAACCCGAATCCCTACAACCAAGCCCGATAAACCTTTACAACCCTCTAAACCCAGAAGCCCCGTGAAACAACCTTCAATCACCAACATGGCCCAACAAACCCGAAAACCTTTCATCTTTCAACCCAAAATTCTAGAAGCTCTGGACCTTCCAACATCCACAAGATCTGGTGTCAGAATGCCACATGGTGGTGACTGTGCACGTTTGATGCAAGTCCAACATCGCGACACAAAAACTTTAGAAGATGCGGCGTCGGCACAAGACCTGCACGAACCTCCTTGTTTACGCTTCCGAAGGCTTTGGTGAGGCTGTCTCGGGCGAGCTGCTCAAGTAGTCCTGCCTCGGCTTTTCGGGGAGCAGGGCTTCGACTTTCAAAGCTCCGCGGATCGGGGACGAGGCTGGTGAGTTCACTTGGTCTTGCGGAGGGGAGGGGCGTTGCTGAAACAGACCATGTTACCACCTGCACGCTAAAGGCGATTAGACTGGGTCAGCTTTCGAGCTTTTGCCAGCTTATGCAGTTCGGTGCACGAACCAAGACAGAACACCTGTACTGGACATGCAAGTTTGTGCTCCGTGAAGTCTGTTCTGGAGCAATTTGCCTTGCAGCTGTCTATGACCCTTTCAACCCACTTGCCTCTTGATGGGCTGCACACCTTCTCTCAGCACTCACTTCTCCGACTGCTTGGGGCTTAGCTTGGAAGACCTGACTCGTATCATGGCGACCCCCGGAGGCTTCGTGAACTTTCGGCCTCAGGGCTCCAAAGTTGGAGTTCGGGTTTAACCCAAGCGGCTGCAAGCTCAATCCCTACAAGAATGACTCTGCTTCCCAAACCTGGGCGAGCGAGTGATATTGGACTGCACCTTCCCAAATAATTACCAGCACTCATGGAACAAAAACATGCTCCAAAATGTCATTGCTAGGCATTTGCCGCCAGAGTGGGACCAGCATCTCAATACCTTGTAGCATTAGTCCACATCTGACTGTGTTGGCGATTGTTGGCGCTAAAAGTCGAAGCGTACAAGTACCAGTGGCCACGAGGCTGAGCTCAATCCCAGTAGCCATGCCCAACCTTTGAACTCCTACACCCCGCCGCGAAACCGTATGATATCTTTACCCACTGGGCCTTATGACATCAAGATCTCAGGAATGTCAGGGATTGTTGCTCACCGCTCCAGGCCCCGGACTCAGGTTTGTAGGTCGTAGGAATGCGCACCGCCCATGCACTGTTCTGATCGCCGGCATGGTTCAAGATCTATTTTGCAAGGGAGCATGGGCATCAATAGCTCACCAAGTACGAGCTGCTCATACCTTTGCAATGTAAACATCCGGTGCCATGCCTGTTTGCGTCACTTCGCTTCTGGAGTTCACGTGCTGGCATACGTTGGAAACAGTTCTTGTAACAGAACGCCTGGGCTCAGAGCCGCCCTACAGCTCAGGCTGTCATATTATGTGTCAGCCGCAAGCGCTGCGAGGAAGGTAAATCTCTGGAGTCAGACGACTGACTGAACTTGTGGCCCCCTAATGCATGACTTACCACTGAAAACGCACTGGCTGGCACACCCTATGGCCCGACGAATCATACTACGACTGGAATCTGTCCCGACACGCCTCCACAAACAACACTTAAACCACTAAGCCCCCGGCTGAATTGGTGGCAACCCCCAGTTCCCTGAAACCGACATTATGCGGCTGGCGGAACCCACGTGCCCAAGACAGCCTGCAGCTGCAAGCCCCGGAACGAACGAGTCGTTGCGTCGACCCAGTTTTGACAACCAGCTCGCACTCTCATGTGCCAGGCCCAAAGCAGCAGATGGCACGACCTGGCTAGGCTTGGCTTCCTTGTTCGGACGACGCAATTCCACAACCGCTGTTATTGCTGATGGTGTTTTGCAAGCGGCTGACACACCAACGCGATATCTTCGACCTTCACTCACCTGTGCTATATGCACAACCGGGCCCTGACATCTCAAACCGACATCCAAGCATAACACAAAGGATTACGAAACTACTCGATATTCATGGGAGCCTTCTCCTTTTGACTTTCAATCGGTCCGATCCCGGCGATAAACATGCTTTTCGGTGTCGGTTGGAACTACGAAGTCAAGCGAACCCATCCACAGACTCCAACGCAGGGACATTGATGCTGACGCTGATGCTGAAGATGGTGATGATGCTGATGATGAAGATGATGATGATGATGATGATGATGAGGGTTCACGGGTCATGCCGGCTTGGGATTCTTACTTTCCCAAGCCAGGAAAGACAGATCTAAGGTTAGGGGGCCTAAAACCTAAACCCTCAAACCCCTGCGTAGATGCTGATTTCCACAAGCGCGGGCTGGAGACACGCATCGGTGGCGTCCCAACACATCGAGACGAGCATCAGTGGCATCACAACACATCAAAATCAGCCATTCGCCTGATAGACACTCAATTCCGCTCAATTCCACAATCGCCCGTTTAAGACATGCATCGGTTGCATCACAACACATCAAAACCAGCCATTCCTGTCTAGACGCTCGATGCACATGGAACATTCGGATCGATCGTTCACAAATAATTAGAAGTGACTGCATTTACGCGATTCGCGATTGCAGCAAAATGGTCGTGCCATCTGCGGATGTCACAGATGTAGGCAGATGATGCAAATCTGGTGGAAGAATCCAGCAGGCTCAAGCACAAACATAGCACTGCCAGCTTCGTCGGTTTTCCCGGCCCCCCCACACAAGCATGGCTGAGTCCACCCACCTCCCACCACCCACTTCCACCTCCCCCACCTCTTCGTCAGGTGCATGAACTGAATCAAATCGGAAATGTACAGACTCACATATCACGACGAGCCTCGCCCACTTCCTCCCATTAATTAAGACAACAACAAATCGCCTGGATCTACCATTGAAGTTCTAGCTACCGCTGCCTCCGAAGCAAGCGACTTGATGCAACGATTGCCGCAGGGCCGAGAAAGCCTTGCCACAGGCAGCCGCCTCACAGCTGCCGAAGGCCTTCGGCCTGCGTATACATGTATGCACACGCCAAGGCTGCATCTATGTAACAGTCGTAGGAAAAGAGCAGAAACAACACGGCACCACAGCGCCTCGTACAGATATATGCCCATGACACGCCTCAAGGCAAGGCCAGGAACGGGCGCAGTCATCTCACCTGCCACTCCGACATCCACCACCTCCCCTCCCACCTCCCACTTCCCACCTCCATCTCCACCTCCCACCCTCCGAGGCGGGACCGCGCCGCACCAATAGGCATAGCCCCGAATCAAAGCACAAGCAACGCCAACCGTACCGAACCGAAACCGTAACACCAGTAGAATTGGCTTGAGACGAGCGTCGTTTTGGTCATCCCAGCCTCAAGGGCAGATGGAGGTCTCTGCAAGGTGCTGAGCCAGAAGGGCTGCTCGGAGCAGTCAGGGTCTAAACATCGCGCCTAATTTTGAGACTCGACCACAGCGCAGCAAAATCAGCTTGGTTTATTACTACTGCACATGTATCCCGAAAGGAGGAACTGCGGCAGATTGCGCACGCAAAGCTAAGTAAGCCCCAGTCGCCAATGAGTATCAAACGGAGCTTTATTGTTCTGATTCAGAACTTGGCGTGGCTTGTCAAACGGCAGCTACCGAGCGCGATCACAGCCTTTTCGTGAAGATGGATGCAACGGATGCAATTAAACTCAACATCTAAGAACAGTCTTGCGACAAGTGTGGGAAGCTTGGGGGAGTTGCAAACCTGAGCATTTCCGGACGTAGTTTCGCGCAATGACGAAGCTCATGTAAGCGATACTGCCGTTTGCAAGCAAGTGGCTGGTCAGCAGATCCTCTGACATATCTGCCCAGGATTTCTGACCTTTTCAAGGCATGCCGCACTCGCTCAGCAATACGGACACTTCACTTACACATCCCACAGCAACCAAAACAATTTGGGATGCATCCACGAAAAATTTCAACACCCGCCTCTGCGTGGACTATGTTTCACCCCACTGCGCTGCGGGGGCACCGTAGTGGACAGTTTTGAGATGGGCCAAAAAAGCATTTCCATCGTATGAATCAATTCAAGCGGCTTCCATGTCGTGCAAATCCGGCTGCACAAATGCTGGACAATCAGCGAGGACCGTGCTACTCATTCTGCACTTGACTCGTAACCGCAACAAGCAGGCAGGCCTGTGACGGAGTTCCAGCCAGGGCCCTTGTTGTCGTTTTGGTCATCCCAGCCTCAAGGGCAGATGGAGGTCTCTGCAAGGTGCTGAGCCAGAAGGGCTGCTCGGAGCAATCAGAGTCTAAAGCCAAGTGTGTTGACATAAATCCTCGGGGAGGCTTAGAGCGTCTTTCGGATTTTGTCGTGAAGTGAAATTCCGCAATCTTCAGTCGGTACAACATGAAAGCCTATATGTAAGAGAAACGAAGCACCAATCGTGTCGACGTTGCTCTCGCACCTGGCTCTGGGGCCGCCGCTAGGCGGTTTCAACGGCCCCAGAGCTCTCAAAAGGATCACCCACGGTGACCATGATGCTTGCGCACGGTGGTCGCCTGCACAGGGAGGGCTCATCACGTTTGGCTTAGGGCTCATGCTGGCTCCATGTGCATATGCATATGTTCGTGTTTATGAGTATGTGTATGTCTACGCAAAGATTCGGTGGAGGATGCATGAGTCTAAGCGTTTCGGTTTAGGTATTAGGTATGGGTGGTGTGGGTGTCCTGCCGGCCATGCCGGCCGGTGCCGCCGGCTTGAATTCATTCTTTGCTTATCTATGTCTGTATATTTTATGCAATTGAGCCCCCCACCAAGCCAGGCGGCGGCCCGAAAGTCTGTGCCTGCAGGTTGTTGCAAGCATGCAGCGTGCAGGTTGCGTCGCACTCCCATTCGCTTCGAGTCTTTGCAACCATCATCCGGCACGGAAAATAAAGATACCCAACAAAGAAGCAACCGAAGCCAATGTCACACTGTGTCCTAGCCGACCGAGACTGCCATCACAGCGGCAACACTGCCAGCCTTTTACGCTTTGCCTGCCACGTGCAAGCCCACCATGGCCTCAGGAATCTCAGGGTTTGAGAGCGGGCTGTCATGGGGCCAGGGCTTGGGTTTTTGCATTGCATGTTTTTTGGTTTTTGTTTAACACAATGCTACGCACACTCTACACATCTATGCATGTGTATGTACTGCAATCACAGCGGCAACAGTCCTATGTTTAGAGATTCTGTCCCAGCTGCTGCCGGGGGGCCTTGTCGGATTTGCATCCCCAAGGCAGAAACATCGCCTCTTCTCTCATGCTAAAGGGTCTATAGGGGCGGCGCTCAGAAGTTGTGTTACCGGCTCGGCTGTTGGCCTCTTCAACATGCCCGCCACTGCCCCCACCGCCCGCCAACCTGCCCCCGCCCTGGTCCTCCTTGGCCTGTTATTTTGGTGGTAGTTGATTAATTTAATTCCACTCCCATGCATGCCCAACCCCCTAAACCCCTCTAAAACCCACATGCCCCCCCCCCTGCCCCCCACCGCCACTCTGCCTGTTGTTTTTGTGATAGTTGAGTCATTGAATACCACTCCAATGCATGCCCAACCCCCCTACACCTTTCTAAGACACAAACACACGCATGTGTCACCCAAACAAGCAGAGAGAGTGTGAGAGAACGAAAGCAGCTTTCTCTGATTGCAAAAAACATGCGTTCTTCGATTGCTTCGGTCTCGTAAAATCATCTGCGAGTCAATCAATCCCGAAGCGGACTTGAGACAGACCCGGCGACGTGGCAGGGTAGTTTACCTTTGTATTTGTCAGAAGTGCTTTGACTTTTGCCTGATTTTGGGGCAGCAGATTCAACGCACTTACGGGGTTCAAGTTTCATGGTCCCAAAAAGAGGCTTAGAGCACTTCTTATGCCCCTAAACCCAGACCCGCAAAATCCTGCAAGAAAGTTAACAGGTCCGCAAATATACGTTGTGATTCTGGACCGGGCTTTGCAACACCTGGACACACTGCGACACATTTGGTCTATCTAGATCTGGGATCGCGGCGGTGCCTGTGTGCGGGACCACTCGAGCCGCATCTCCTGTCATCCGTGCAGAATCGTGCAGGAGTGGCGGTCTCTCAAGCAGAAGCCTCACACCGAAGTTGCCTCTCGAAGCTGGCGCTGTTGGTACTGGAGGCGAGACTAGGCTGCAGCGCGAGTGGTCGAAAGATGTCGAAAGCCAAGTGCCGGGCTGAACGTGTCGCTGCCCGGCGACACTCCTTCGCAACAGTACCACATCTGCATCTCTGAAAATGCCATTAGAATCCATTAGATAGACCGTGTGAGCATCGCAGAAATGGCAATGCCGACCCCGCGACTTCAATCCGGGGCAGAAGAGCTTGCATGGTGCTGTGGGGCTCACGTGAATGCAGCCACGTGCGGCGATATTTCTTTAATCCTGTCCAAAGAAGTTGAGAAAGATATCCTGCGAAGCTTGTGTCTCATGGTTTTGGGATCCAGGGTCGGAAGTACCGTGTCTCTAGTGCACGGTTTGGCTCTTGCTCAATACACACTGCGCGGCTGACTTTCCTGTCTCGTAGCTGACAAGACTTGGAAATCCAACTTCCCCAAAGCTCCAGGATGAATTGAAGCTTAAGCCCTGAACCCATGACGCGAGAATTCTCCACGCCGCGAACCCGAACAGCTTTGAGAGCACAATTCATTTGGAATTATTTCGCTTTTCAACGCTGTTGGCATCCTGTCTGAATATGTGTGAATCTTCTGTATGGCCATATGTCGTGAACCAGAAGCCTTTACCCACATGTTTTTTTTTACGCAGTTTGCAAGCCCTGCATGTGGTTGAGCTGTCTGGACCGAATTCTTCCACCCGACTCTGCATCATCTGGTCTGTTCCCACCTGTGACATCCGGAGACAGAGCGAGCGACAAGGCCAACTTTTTGTGGTAGTGATCACGGCGGGAGCAGCCAAACACACTATCTCATGTACCGTGTGAAATGCCTTTTGCATGGCTACGACCCATGCCTACAAGCGATGTCATTCGAGAAATTTGAATAGTCTGAAAGGTTCATGGGTCATGAGGTTTTTGCTGATCCGGGTGTCAAACTCTTTATGTGAGTTTTGCTTTTTGATTCCTGCTGGGTGACGCTGGGTGCCATGTTGAAAGGACCACTTACAGGTACGTGTTTGACCACGCGTCCACCGCTGAAACTCTTGCTTGCAGACATGCCTGGCCATTCACGCCACCATTATTACCGTGCTCATCAACCCCAGACCGGTGTGCAGCAGATCTGCGTTGTCGGTCATCGAATCACCGGCTCTGGGTTTGATTGATCTCTTCAGCCATTCTGCCAAACAGTGGAAGATCTTACTGACCTCTATGGCCAAGGCTGCCAAGGCATCAGACCCGATGACCTGATGAGGCCGCGCCTTGCTCCGGGCCCGTGGCTGCGGTGGCACGGCCAAGCTTCATAACAGGAGCCTGCCCTCAAACGCCCAAGCGGACTATCCAGACATTCTCAATGCTGCATCTGCCTCCTGCGACGAAGCCGTCGGGCAGAAAGCCAACCAGGCCAGCCTGCCAGACACTGAGCGAGTGAATCCAAACATTCCAAGGTCAGTTTCCCTTTGGCAATGAGCTCCGAAGATCGTGAAGATCACGAATTTGGTCCGTCTGATTCTGCGTTAAAGGTTGCAACAGTAAGTCACACACTTGTGGAATCCCTCGGGGCCAGCAGCTGAAGTTACGCTACGGTCGAACCACATGGCGTGCGTGAGCCACAAGCATTTTGACAAGAAGACCATGCACACCTAATGTAGGGGCTTGAGCCATTGCTACATGAATTCTTTGCGGTTTCTGACTATAATTTCTTTACTACGAATATACTACATATACCCCCCAACTCATTCCAAGCCCTATGCTAATCCTCACCCCGATCCCGATTCTCATCCTGAAGCCCTACTTTACCCTTGTCAACCTGACAGACTGCAGAATCAGATACTGCAAGTCGTCGGGCCCGCAGATTCAAGCAGTATCTCTGCGTCTGCTATCGAAGAGGCATCCCGTTGTCATTTTCGCCACCGATGCTGCCAGCTCTGCTCAACCCTAAACCCTAAACCCTAAACCCAAACCCTAAACCCTAAACCCTAAACCCAAAAGAAAGCTAGGGCGGCGTGGCCCCATAGCCTTCCGCCCTCTCGCTGCCCTGAGAACCCTCCTGGCCCTTCAGAGGCGTTTCGGCCGCTTCCTGCTGCAGGGGTTCTAGAAGGCTAAAGGGTTTAGGGTTTAGGGTTTAGGGTTTAGGGCTACCCATAGGCCCCATAGTAGTTCCTTTTTGGGGCTCATATTTAGAATCCTATAAGGTAATCCCAAAAAAGGAACTACTATGGGGGCCTATGGGTACGTACTATAAGGGCAACTACACGCGCAGAATTGCAACTTCTGTTCTAGAGCTCTTCAAGCCGAAGGCGACCTAGCATCTGCTAGTCTCCATTGTAGTTCCTGTTTGGGGATACCTTATAAAATCCTTAATATATAATTGGTTAAACCAAAATAAGGAACTACAATGGAAACTATAGGTAGACTTGGGAGGGTTGGTCCTCGTCGTCATCGTCATCGATTGGCTCGAACCAGACTGCCTTGCCTGCGGCCCGGAGTTCCAAAGCCTTGGAGCTCCAGCGATCACTTGGCAGGTAAGGCTCCTGGTAAGGCGTCCCGCGGCTGCTCCCGCCACAGTCCAGCGCATGTTTTGGGGTGCGACTCGTGCTCCCGCCAGAGGGCGGTGCATGTTCTGGGGTGCCCATGCTGCTGCTCCCAGTGTGCTGCGCATTTTTGGGCTGATGGGCCTGCTACAGTAGAGGCCTCATAGAGGTGCTCCTGGGATGGTAGCTGAGGGCTTCGGCCTGCTCATATTGAAACATCGGAACCTTGTTCAGTCTGCCGCCGAGGCGCGTAGCTGGCCACAACACCACAGGCCCAAAGATGAATATTTATGGACAACAAAGCATAGAAGAGATTCACCGCCACCGGGCTGTTCACGGAACGATTGCCTCGGAGATGGTCAACGCAGTGTCAGGGACATGATAGTCATGGTGCCCGGGACTTCTGGGGTACATCTTCACTGGGCGTCAGAGCAGCACAAGACACGCAGATTGCAAGTGCATAAGCTGAAAAGCAACATGGAGAAGGCTCTGGATGGCACTGATGGTCATGACCATCGTCATCATCGCCATCACCACCATCACTCGCAACTGTGTTCGCAGTCATGACCGTAATCGCCACGAGATGGAATGCGTGAGCCAGTATTTGCCCTGCTGTCGTCTGACGCAGCCAGGTGGCCAAGGACGACCTCAGACCAAATCATACGGCAGAAGTCACCGAAAGTCCCAGTAGAGTCCTGGAGAAGCAGGGAAAACGTCAGCAGCCACCTTCCCTAGACATGCCCGCTGGCATAGCCATTTTGCTGAACTCAGATCAATCCTGGCGTGGCAACACATCGTGTGATCTAACCTTTGCAGTGTTGAGTCTGTCGATGTCCAGCTTGAAGAACTTACCCAAAGGCGAGATGAGTTGAGGCTGGGCCAGCCGCCCAAACAAGCTTCAGCTTCTTCTGTTATGCACTGCTTCTTTCAGCTCCCCAAAAGCCATTCTTTCACCAGTTGTTTCCCAAATGTCTTCACTTGCACCTGCACGTAAACCTACCCTGCATGTCATTGTAAATCGCATGGTATCTTTGCGGCAGACATGATTTAGGGCATAGGGTGGGAACCTTGAGAACCCGATTGAAATTCGCAATTAAATGTCATGGGCTGCTCGGGAGTCTTGATACCAAGAATCCTTGTATTCCGACTCCAATAATGGAAATATACACAGAGATGTACAAAGGTGTCATCTTTTCGTCTCTCTGTTTCATTCGCATCTGTTTGCATCCTTCCGCCTAGTTGCAACTTCTCACCTTGATGATTTGGTTCATGTTCATTCTCATAGGGCAAACCTATGCTGATTAATGCCCAAGGTGCTCAAACAAACCTCTGGTCACAGGGCCCGGACACGAATACTGCCACTGTACACTGTGAGGCGCTGGTGAGACGACTATTCTCCATGCGCTACCCTGCGCTGCTGTCTGCCTACAGCTGCTACATCCTCGGTCCTCGAGCACGAACCAAGCGATCTCCAAGATGCATTGAAGGAGGAGCATGAGCGCGAAAAACCTGATCTGGGTCACAGCTCTCAACCTTCGGATTGCGCTGGCTATCGTCCGAATACTTGCCGCGAGACAGATGAATCTTGTGATGAAACTCAGAATCATGGAGATGGTTAACATTCACACGAGGCTCATGATCCTCCTCATTTTCAGTCTTGACATGTACTAGTCCGCGACATAATGACAGGTGCACCCAGGTGGCGTCACCGGATGGCGAATCTCGAAGAAAGCACCTTGCCCACTGCAGCTTCACATCAAGCTGTTTCTGAGCAAGTTTCGTTCCAGGTAGTGCCTAGAGTCTAAATGATAAGGTGTAAGTAAGGCTTGTCACATGTTCGATCTTCAAGCACAGGACAGTGGAGCAGTCCCAGCTAATCCTTCGCAGCAGCAGGGGCTTCAGCTAGGTGTGCGGCCCGCGCAACCCGACACGCCAGAGAGGAGCATGCAGCACGCCAAAGCCAGGAGGGTCACCGTGCTTTTGCCTGAGCCCAGTTGTGTAAACTCCAACCCGACGCCCTCAAACCCCCATAAACACTAAAGCCTGCATGACCTCAAACCGTGCATGCTCGTGCCAGTGCGGCTAGGACTCTCTTCTCTTGGATGTTGTAGCCCGAAACGTCTCCGCCCGTGGCGCGATAAACCTGAGAGGATGCTCTGCTATGCTCTTCCCCAAACTTCGGGCATCCAACAGTGGGCACAACCATGAAGAAACAACGATGTAAACAAACACCTCTCTAGATCTGCACTGGATGCATGCATATATCATATACTATATACTTAATACGTATAATATCTACACAGACATGAATATCCACCCGCTGTCTCCATTGCAAGGGAAGAGACCTGTTCGAAAAGCTGGCATGCTCCAGCTACACCAAACAGGATGCCAAAGGTGACGGTCGCCCAACCTTGGAGGACGGGCTTTGCGTTCAGGGTCGCAGCAGTAGCACGAAATCAAGAGGCCAGAATGGGCTCCTGCCGGTCCTGATATTTCTATTCAGGACCTTCCCTTACATTCTGAACCATGATTCCCATCTAGAAGCTAACTTAACCCTGGCCGCAATCTCTCCGAGAGGCGCAAAGGCAACATGCAGCAAGTCTTCTGGCCGTCGGAGAAGTCGGCAGCATCGATACGAGTGGAGTACTTCGTCATCACCTCTCGGGGGCTCATGCACTAGGGGCACTTCGTCACCATCACCTTTATGGGTTAAGAAGTGTCAGTGTACTGCCTCATCACCTGCTTGCAACGTGAGACTTTATCAGGCATCATGTGTACCAAATCACATTCATATCCAATTATGCAAATGGGAGCTGACCGGTCTCTATCAGCGCATGGACTCGACCAGCAATGCCCGTATTCCACAGTGACCGCTACACCCTTTGCACATCCGGGTCTCTGACGATAGCCGAGCCGGGTAAACGAAAACACACCCTGAACCCTGTAAGCCCTGACGGCCAAGCGAGCGAAAGCGGTAAACGGCCCACTTAGGTACTGCGACTGAAAACCTTCTGAAAACTTTCTCCCCCCGCCATAAGCCACCTCGCACAAAGATGAACGTGGAACCGGGATGGTCCGGAGAGGCCTGACCTGGGCGACGTCACGGAGCCAGATCGCTGAGTGTCTAGAACCTAGAAGAAAATGACAGCTAAGAGTGAAAGTTCCCTATGCTTGAAACACGGCTGGCGGATGAAGATAACTTAACTGTGGGCGTTCGGGCCTCTGTAACTGGACTGCGCCCCACAAATTTCAAGGACTGGAGTCGATGCTTCGGTCGGTCCATGACACAAACGGACACGCAGGGCTGCACAGCAAAGACCCGTCAGTAGCCATCCTGTGCCAAGAGCACCCTTTTCTTGATCCGAGCTGCTCGCAAGCGATGGAGAAACACACTCTGCGTATTGGCTTGGGCCAAATCCAACAGGACAGGGGGATTCAGGGGATGCTATAACAGAAATACATCGGGAATATAAGGGAATATTGTCTCATCATGTCCCATGACTCGGGAATACCAAGCTTTTGTATCTTGCTTTTCGCGCAGAGCTCTGCAACAAGACATGCTAGCAGCATGAGCCCCTAAGCCCAAGGCCCTTGGTGCAGCTGGGACTCCTTCAAAACCTTATGCCAAACACCTGAAATCCTTAACCTCGCGGAAACGCAATGGTACCCCTTGTAGTCACGCTTGGAAGTCAGCCTACACCTTAAACCTTACACCCCAAGCAGCCCGTAGGCACTGCAGACATCAAAACATCGGCTCGACCCGCGCCTGCATGATTCCAGCCGACTCTAGCTCAAGCACCTCACTCAAGTCTTCAACTCTGTCGCTTCTAGTCAGCTAGGCTTTAGGGCTTATAGGGTTTAGGGATTCTCGGGTTTATCATTCTGTAGTACTGATCGGGTTTTGAATAGGGTTTGGGGTTGATAAGTGGGTTAGGGGATTGGGGTTGCACAGCATGCACGAGCAGGCTGTAAGAG